CCTGCGCCAGGCCACACGGATGGGGCTGGATCCGGAGCCCACGCTCCCGGAGCGCCGCGAGTTCGAGGCCAGCCTGGGCTCCAAAGCGAAACCCTGTTTCAAAAACAGACACACACAATGAAAAAGAAGAAAGAGGAAGGAAAGAGTGTTGACCGTTTCTCCGAGTGGTTCTCAAAGCGAGGTTTCTGGAACCACGACCTTAGCGCGCCCGGGAGGTTACTGAGTGCGCATTCTCAGGCCCATCTTGACCCTTTCGGTCAAAACTGCGGGGGACGGGGTGACCGACCTGTCTTCTTCTTGGGTGGGATGGAGGGGTGGCCCTGTGTTTCCGTATTTGCCTTCAGCTGTCACCCTAGTGGGCAGTTGGAAATGGGACCTCTCCCTCTGTCCCGGGGAGAGGACACGCGGGCAGAAGGCCGACAGCCAAGGCCCTGGGGCTGGTCTGCGTCTGCGCCCGCTCCGTGCCGGGAAGGAAGCCCCCCTCAGGCTTCCTGTTACGATTTTAGTCTAGATGAGCTTAGGGGACTTTTTCACAGGTGGCTGAATCTTGAGGGTATGATGCTGGGATTAAGGGTGTGTGATAAACCACTACACCGATTGATTTGGCACCACCCTAGTCTCCATTGTCTAGATAAGATAATGGGACTGGGCTTCCGTTTCCCCCTGTGTAAAAGGTAGGTGATGAGGACCCGGGGATGTATGAGGGGGAAGCCGCTTCTCCTTCCCAGCCCGGCCCACTGGCAGGAGGGAGCATCTCTTTCTAATCTGCACGAAGGTGCCATAAAAGTGGTGTGATCAACATTCGCAGTAAATGCTACATTTAAAAATCCTATTACAGTAAGAGGCACGTTGGTATTAATCCCCTGAAAATACCCCTCCCCTCTCCTGTCGCTTTCCGAAGCAGTTCTGGAAGTCCGCCTTGCGAGTCTCAGGTGTGATAAAAACACCGTGACTGCGGCTGCCGAGCGCCATCTAGTGGACAGGCCGTGTCTTCCACCTTTTCACCAGACCGGGCACCCTGACTCCTTTCTGTCTCTTCCCCAAAGTCAAAGTGACCCTGAAAGATCAACTCTTTTTTTTTATCCTCCTTTACATTTTATTTACCATAAGCATTAAGGTAATAAGCAAATACTGGAGGGAGACTTTAAATAATTATGCAAAGCTGAATACTTAAATTTATGTTTGCTCCTTCAGTCTGCTCCAATTGAGATCCTTTATCTTCATATACGCTGATTCGAGAGCATCACGGTTTCCTAATAGTTTCAGAAGAGTATCGTCGCCTTATAATTTAAAACAATTTCACCAGCTGTACCCAGTCATGCTATCATACCATCCTTCACAGAGTTCCCCAAGGTGAGTACATTTACGTATTAGCACTGAAATCAATTTTTATTTAAACATTATAATAAATCAAACCACAGAGACCTAGAATTTAGTTTTAAGAGTGTTTGTGCAGGCTGCTGCTGAGCTCAGAGCACGCCTAAATAGAGCTGCAGATTGAAACTCCTTTGTATGTCCAATGGTAGGGATTTTCACTCATCCAGGGTATCCCCAAATTTGTTTACTTTGAAAACCATTCTGTAAGGCAGGAAATTGTTCTTCTTACATCATGGACAAGGAAGATGAACATCTTTAAGACCAATCTATCAAATGTAACCTTCACCCTCTTGAAGCCTGTATTTCTGGAAGCACAGTTTATCACTTCTTCATTATTCCTCTAAACTTGCGTGAATATTTTTGACTACTGGGCCCATCAGTAATTTATCCCTTATAGTTCCATGTCTTCTGAGACAGTTACTCATGGAGAAGAACCAAGTCTTATTCATCTTTCCTTCTTCTGTGTCTACCTGACTCAAAAGGTCCTCAAAGAATGTTGAATGAATGAATAAACACATTAATGAAAGAAATAAAGCTGCCAAGTTAGGCTGATGGGAGAGTTTAGGTTGGCTGGTGGTAGGGCACGCAGGTGACACCCAGCAGAAAAGATCATAAAATAAAGGTTATATGGACGTTGGACCATAAGATGTAGAAATTCAAGAGAAGCTTCTACCTTGGGCCATAGGATCAGTAACAGCAGTGGGACTGGATTCATTGGATTTATTCATAGAAGCGCAGAATGGAATCAGCTCATAATGAGGAAGGGTCTCCTTTTCTGTGTTGTGTGATGCTGGGAATATCCACCAAAGAGGACTGATTGCTCATGTTTGAGTCATATTTGACTTTTGAGAATATTATCTGGGTGGTGAAGATCATCCAATCATAAACTTCTCCAAAAGGAGAGTTTTTGAGATTTTTGAACTTTTCTTCGCACATTCTCACATAAGAAAGCTTTCTCGCTGGGTGTGGTGGCACACACCTGTAATCCCAGACCTTGGGAGGCTGAGGCGGGAGGATTGCTGTGAGTTTGAGACCAGCCTGGGCTCCATAGTGAGTTCTAGATCAGTCTCAACTACATAGTGAGACCCTGTCTCAAAAAAAAAAAAAAAAAAGAAAAAAAGAAAAAAAGCTTTCCAGAAAAGTATTGCATGATGTGAGCAAATGTAAGTTTAGGGATGGAACCAAATCTGGATGACTTGAAAGATTACCTTACTTCGAGTGATCAAATACTTGTCGAAGCCAAAGGCACAGACCTGAACCAGAAGCATTCATCGATGCATTTGGGAACATTCTTCTCTCCTCCTCTGTTGGAATGCCGTCAACCCGTGGGTGGGGAATCGGTCTTAGAACTTCTGCAGTGGGCTCTGGAAAACCAGGCCTCCCGTTTATCTTTCTTGTAGTACGAAATGATATCAACACCAAAAATGTCACCGTTTTGAATCAGTTCAGGATATTGAGGCAGCGATAACAGCTCCACTAGACACTCACGGAGGAGCACCGCCAGACCTGCTTCAGAAGGTTGCGAGGATGATGGGCTGAGTGTGTTTGAAGGGAGGGGCGAATGACAATGCGTCTCTTTACTGTAACATGCTGGGGCCAGAGCAACTCTGCGGTGGGACCCCAGCACAATCGCAGCCACACTGAGGAAGTTTCAGGGACAAAAGCTTTGGTTTCTTTACAAATATATTTTTTTCTTCTGCTTCCGATGGATGGCTGGGCAAGGCGGCTTTTGATGTGTGCAGATGCTGTGCCCGCTCCTCTTGTACTCAGAGACCTAAACATGGAGGATGGCTTTTGTGAATGTAGGTGGTTTTCACTATTAATGCTTTTGCTAAGCTTTAATTTTTTTTTTTTTTTTTGCTACTGGGAATCAAACTCAGGACCCTGGGCTTATGAGGCAGGTGCTGTGCCACCGAGCTAAGTCCCTGGCCCTAACTGCTAGTGCTGTTAACTGTTAGTAAGTAGGGTCTAATCATGAGGAGAAAGGAATGAAGTGAGCCATGGGATTTGGGCACCAGGATGTCAACAAACCACAATGGTACCACGTACAAGAGGGGAGAGCAGTTATCTGTCAAGGTACTTGGCTGCAGAAGAAGAGGAATTGTTTCCAGGGCTCTGGGGACAATGGTGCTCGTAGGAGACATTTGACAATCACCAGAGCACATGTAGCTGGGGGAGGAGACTGAAGGTACAAGAAATGGGGCCTGTGGAGCACAAGGGGAGCTTGGCCAGGCAGATGGGATCTTAAGAGGAAGAGACGCCAGGAAAGAGGGAGAGTGCTGCCACTTGGGCCGGAGTGTCGCCCATGTCAGTGCAGGACTGGAGCGAGGAATCTTAGAGGGCACCGAGGGGGAGGTTTTAGGTCAGTAGGGTGCATCCTTTGGGTGACGCCGGGACCCCATCTCATCCTCTCTCAAGACCTGGCCAAGAAGTGAATGCTGTGCTAGGATGTGCTCCACCCTCCCCACCTCCTGCCTGAGGCCTGAGGCAACAGGTCCAGTCCTGCCACCTGGAGCCTCTGAAAGGGAACGCAAAGAAGACTTTTCTCTTTTTAGGTTATCTTGGTATTTGTTACAGTAGCAGAAAGCTAGAACAGACAGAAAGGCTCCTGGGTCAAGCATGTAATTGAGTGTGAGGCCCTCAACGTGGAGCTCAGTTTATTATTTTAATTATCAAACCACAGAAGTTTTCTTTTCCTGAAAATTTTACTTGGAGTACCGATTTTAAAATGTAAAACAGAACTGGGCATGGTGGGGCATGCCTGTAATCCCAGCACTCAGGAGGCTGAGGCAGGAGGATCGCTGTGAGTTTGAGACCAGCCTGGGCTACATAGTGAGTTCTAGGTCAGTCTCAACTACGTAGTGAGACCCTGTCTCAAAAAGCACCCCCCCGCAATGTAAAACAGGATTATCAAGGCTCAAGGGTGAATTCTGGAGATAAACTGTTAAGGCCATTAATCTCCTTACATTTCACTGAAAATGTTTTAATTCAAGCAAAAGCCAGTATAAAAGGAGGGGGTAAAGGGTGAAAAGTAAGATTGGGAATACTATACCTATGTCTGTTGCTAAGATTTTCACAGAAACTTATTCTCC